GAGGATATGCAGACAGCCCCTGGTTTTTACTGGAATGAATAAGTCATTTAAAAAATGCTGTTGATACAACAGGAAGCTTGGCTACAATGCATAAATTAAGGAAGAAAATAATCTTTGTTCTTAAGGGGTCATAGGCTTTGTGAGATGAAGAGATAACACAAAACACATGACCAGTTTCGTTTACGCTACCCATCAAAAAATTTCTTTCCTTTGAGGTCATTTTGCCTCACTTTAAATTTCCTGAAAAGCTCATTTGAAACGCTCCCATATAGAAGCCTACTTATGTTCTTTCATTTCTGATGTAGGGATCTGAGACCCAGAATGTCCCTTCTGGTGTGTAAGCCTTTACTGTCACATCTACTGTGTGATGATTATCCCATTATTTTATCAGATTTCATCTTAATCACTAGATTTTCAGGACCTCATTATTCCTAAAAGGAAGTTGTTTCAAATTCCAGTAATGGTTTGATTATCATCCTACACATCATGATCTTTTTCCTCCTTGATATTTAGCTGCAAATGTATTTTTAGAAAGAAGTCACAAAATCACAGCTTCAGTTTTTGTAATACTAAATAATACTTGCTCTTTGAGCCTCCTGTCATGTCATGCTGGTAGATGGTTCCCATTCCAGCTAACTTTTAGACTTTCTACGTTTGTCTGTATGAAGGCTCACCAGTGACACATCAGCAGGGATGTTGTGTTGTCTTATCTCTACTGGAAACAGTCCTCCTAACTCATCCTAGTAATAAATTTGTTTCTTTTGGTGGCACATTAAATGGTTAGTTACAACTGTTCGTAAGTTACAACCATTTTAGGTCAAAAAATACGGTCAGATTTTTCTTTCCTTTTCTTCTCCCATTTCTACCTTATAACCTACAGCTCTTCCATTACAAAAGGCCTGTTTCTGTGAATATAAATGTTTGAATTTTTGATACTCCAACCCGAAAGGTGATCCAAAGGGTTTCTTAGGTAGTATTTTTATCATCTTTTATATTGACTAAAATTCCCTGCTTTGTGATCAGCCAATATCATTAAATCCAATTCTAGCTCTTAATTCCTAAATTATATTGGGAATTGTCCCAAAGACAAGCTACAAGATCTTTAATTTCTGCCTTTCCTTCAGCCTAGTGTTCCCCTTTTAACACAGGCTATAATCAGTCCCCCACCCTCCTGTTTGCCAGTTCCTCACACACCTTAAAATTCTTATGCTGATATCCCTCCTTCCACCCTTAACTAGTAATTTCCCAGAGAGAACCTGTTAGCACTGAAGTGCTTTCTTGATTCAATTGTTCAGGCATAGTTCTGTGAGGTGCTATGCAGCTGCTACAGGGTATTGCAGCTGAGCATCCTCCAGTGTCATTACGGTGGTGGGAGCAGAGAGCCCTCAGCTTGTTTCAAAATGTTACTGATGTGGACTGTAATTGATTGTAAGGACCCCTCCTCAGCAGTATATCAAAGGGTCTGCTCTTGCTTGCTTTGTTGGCTCTGAGGAATTTACCTTTTACAGTTTAACTGCATGGCTGTAGTCATAATGTAATCACTGTTTAGTACTTTTGTCAGTCCATTTCTTCCAAAGGTGCTGTGCAGTCTCTCCTGACTCAATTTGAAGTGTAGATTTTCAAAGTGCAAAATGTTTAAAAGCAATTCACATAATTTAAAAAATAGAAAACCAGCTTACAAATATGTTATTAAGCATTTTTAAATTTTCTTACCTCTTCAGCTGACCGTTGGGTTTTTTTTAGTAGCAGACACTATATTACATAGACTACTGGTTTTGGTAGCTTTAACAACTAATTTTACTAGATAGCTATATGTATTTGAACAGTGTTTTGGTCTTTTAAATAAAGGGGAAAGAAATAGTGTGGCAGCTTCTATCCTTTTGATGCACATTATTGCATTTTCTGTGATTTTGCATAATAAAAATAGTGTGAAACATCCATAGTATTCACTTTGGATAAGTTTTGGCAGGTGGAGTATCTCACCAATGTGGCAATAGTGCTGTACAAAACATGGGAAAAGGTCATCCCCGTTTAAACGTCCATCTGTGTATCATTGGCTCAAAAGAGGCAGTAGTCTGTCAGTGAAAAAAAGTTATTGGATTTTTTTTTATGTCTTAAATAGCTGTAGAATTTATGTTAAAAAAGAAGAGAAGTTGTTTTTCTTTTGTCGAAGTTTCCCTTCCCTAATAAAATACAGAAGTCTGTTAATGTATTATTTAAAGTGTCTTCCAAGAATCACAACTGCAATACTGGTTGAAAGAGAGAAGGATTACTATCATTTAAAGGAAAGAAATGGAAAATCTTTAAGGTCATTTCTTTTCATGACAAAGAAACTTAAAAAGCATGGCAGACAGGATCTTCAAAGGTTTTTAAAGTCCTGTCATCAGCTCCCAATCAATAGGAGTTAGATACCCAAATTAAGAGTTCAGTTGAGTCTTCAAAGGTATTTGGGTGCTTAGCCTCCTTTTACCTTTCAGATCACTTCTAAGAATAAAATGGCAGTTTGACTGAAAACATTTTGATGCAATACCTTGATGTCCAGCATCTGGATAATCTGTAGTACCCACTGATAATTAGCATAGCAGATACTTCTCCTGAAAGTTCGTTGTTAGAGTATGTTTATGAAGTCGTTTTCCTTTGTGAAGCAAAAAATTTGCTTTAAAGCTTGTTGAATACGGGGAAAAAAACAGAAGTAAATGTAAAAAAGCGTACTGATAAAATAGCATTAGTGTTTGCAGAGGCTAATAATTTCAGTAAATTTGCAAAACTCTGCAGTCTGTATTAACTAAGGATGCAGATAAAACTGCATCATGTTGTACGTGTGCGGTTCTGGGCTTTGATTTTCGTGGTTTATGCTTGCACATCTGCCTGTGCAGGATAAGGTTCCTGACAGAGAACTGATGTTATTATCCGTGTAAAAAATAGAGACCATGTGTAATACGCAAAATATGTTGCCTAGCATAGTTATTCTATGCACTATAGCATCTCTCAAAGTTGTCAAGCCTCCACCTAAAGGGGGACCCTGCTGAGGGCTGTGTGGTGCAGTCATGACTACCCTGCCTTTATTAATATTTTTAAGTGTTTGCAAAAATCTTAGATGGTTCTGATCTACTTAAAGTATTCTGTCTGATAGCAGTGCCTCGGGCGTACACAGTGGAAGTGGCAGTGCCCTGTGTTCACATGGAATTGCTGTTTGTTTACGGTTTTTGAGTCACTTCCTGTCAAGCCAAAAGCGTTCATTATAATGAAGGCACTTACTGTCTCCCCAGCCTGCTCTTGAGTGACATCAAAACACAGTCTGGGTTTTTTCATTATTATTGTCATATGCCTCAGAGTTGGTGAATGGGCCATGGATCCCAAAGCCTCAGGCACTGAGTGGCATGTTTAGTCTTTTAGAGGTACAATTCTGCCTCTGGTCCAGCATTTGCATCTCTGAGACAGTTGTCACAGCTGCTCCTGGTAATGTTGAGTGTCACGTTTTTGGTGCAAATGCACCTCATCTGAATAGCTAGGCAGTGGTTACACTCCACATTTTATAGATTTTCTTTTTGTTCTCTATCAGTCTGGCTTTTCTTCAGAGTTGGTGCTGAGACTCAGTTGGTTTGAGGATGGGAAGGGGAGAGGGCAGAGCAGACACATTTGCTTTCCTGCTTTTATGTCCAACTTGGGGCTCTTCATGGCTCTAAAGAGCAGGCCCTGCTGCCCCGCTGTCAGCCCAGCTCCCAGCGCCAGGACTGCCCGCAGGATTCTTGCTCCTGCACTGCCGAGGGGCAGCTGCTGAGCAGGAGGAAATGAGTCTCAGCAGGCACAAATCTATTGCCTCTGTTTTTATTCGTTCCATTTCTTTCAAACGGAAAATAATCTGAACACTTTCTGAGGATGAGGGATATAAATCTGTCTCCTGCTATTTATACCGTGCTCATCACTGCAGTGTCTAAATGCGTAAAGTATATATTTGCTGCTTAATCTGAGGTGGTCTTCAAGCCTCTTGGGCTGTCACAAGTAGGCATATCTCAGACCAGGAGTGAAGAGGAGTCCTAGGGGATGTCCAGGTCTCATTGTACTCCTGTGACAAGTTGACTCTTAGGCACAAGGCCCTTGGGGCATTGGGAGGGTGGTAGCATTGACCTCCCTGCTTCACATGGTGTTGAATGGTGACCCAGAGGAGTGACTTGCATCAGTGCAATGAAAGCCTGCTTTATTATCCATTAACATTGAAAGGGAAGATTTTGTGTCCTGAGCCTCACAGACAGCACTGTGAGTGCTGTTCTTGTTTGAGTGGGTAGACAGCAGTGGATGAATTCTCTGGATGTCTTTTGAACGAAGTAATAAAAATGGATCTGTCTGTTCTGGGTAGTTATTTTAATAAATAACTTCCCTTTGCTTTTATTTGAATAATAAGATACCCCTTTTCTCTCTGATCTCTTTCAAACATGCTTCACTTTCACCACATGCACCTACATATTGTTGTTTATTCCCATATTCTACATGGACATTCAAACAATATTGAAACCACTGATTCATCGAAATAGTTTTTAAACTGTTGTTATTAGTCATTTTTGTATTGACCGAATTTTTCATTGGTAATATTGTTGGCAGCAGTCCATGTCTGCCTGGCTGGAGGCCAGTTTAAGCTCAGCAGGATGAGCCCTATTGTTCAGCAGACTTGGATTTTGTTAAACTCTCCAACAGAAATATGTGTCAGGAGATTTGCAGCTATAAATTGGATCATATTGGTGAGGTTGGGAACTCGCTCAATACAAAATTGAACATTTCACCATGCCTGTTGCTAAATGTGTTTGTGCATGTTTCCTACATGGGTTTCAAAAAATAAAAGAAAAAAAATATGAAAAAAGTTTGACCTGTTGAGCTCTGCCTTTACCTTATACAGTTGGTAATTTCTTTGATGTTGAGTGGTTGAAAAATGCAGCAAGGCTTGGTTTTGTGCATTGAAATGTTAAAAGCAAGTCTGTTTTCCCTTTTTTCTCTGTGTGTTACAGGCAGTCAGATGCCACCGCAGCCTCCTGGCAGCCAGTCAGAATCCAGCTCCCACCCTGCCTTGAGCCAGTCACCAATGCCACAGGACCGAGGTTTGTTAGGTGTTGGGGCTTTTTTACTCGGTGTCAAATGCAGCCTTCATTTTCAGATGCACATTAGCCATGTGAGATTTCCTGGTATTTCTTTTCTTCTCCCAGGGAAAATAATGACAGTCTTCATTGTAAGAGGCTTGGGGGGTGTTCCTTCTATGGGGAAAGAGCAATGGAATAGCAGGTTTTACCAAACTATAATTGAAAACAAGGTTTTCTCAAAATATAATGAATGCCCAGGGTATAAAGGCAGTTTTTGTAAATACTTGAGTCATGTCTTAGAGAATACAACTTATTCTTGTCTATCTTGAAATTAAGATATACAGAAATAGTGCTCACTATGAGCACTACAGTTTTGCTACTGTTCTTAAAACTCTCATCTCTGTCTTTGCATGGACACGATAGTCCTCTATCCAGTTCTAGGATAAAAATATCTTTAAATATAAAAAGAAATCAAATATTTAGGTCAAATGGTTCAAACATTTGGAAATCTTGCAAGGGAAAACATTGCAGGCAACAGCACGGTTCTAAAAGGGTGCTTCCTAGCAAGTGCTCACAAAAATAAACAGAGCATTTTTAAACTAATGTTACCTTTTTTAACTTTTAAGCCTTTTTCCTTTCACCTCCTTCCTCCCTAGCTCATGGAAGATAGTTGTCACAGCTTTGTTGCATGGCCGTACATACAATCAACTGCTGTAAACTGGGCATCCTGTTCATGCAGTGGTTAACATGTGCCAGTGACAGGCTTGCAAAACAGACACATGATAACTGTGATAAACATGGAGTTATTTATGAAATGCCCCTCCTAAAATGTCTTGCTTCCAGAAATATCCTAAGTAACACCATATGGGGATACCATAAATACTAGAAGTTTTCTCGCAGTGAAACAAGTTGAACTCACAGAATGACAAATTTCTGGGATAGCATCCAGGAGGAGCTAAGAGGACTCACAAAGAAGAGCAGAGAGTCTTAATTTTTGCTATTTTTCTGGGCTGATTGTCCCCTCCTCCCGGACTGCTGATTAATGAGAACATGAAATACAGAATTCCATGCTCATTTGTTTTGTTTCCTTTTCAGTCATTCTTTATGCTCAGTTGTTAGTGCAGGGACTTATTTTCCCCTTTAAAAAATTTAGAATACTGTGCATGTTTGGTGAGAAAAAGAATGGCCTCAGTATCCAACACAAGTATATGATACCTTGTGTGATAGATGTCACAAGGCAGCAAGAATGGATCAGATGGAGGCTTTAAAGACCCAAACATCTCACAAAGATATTTACATTTCCTGGCACAACTGGGTCTTGGCACAAAATGTTATATTACCCAGTAACAATTGTTTCTGCAGTGTGTATTCCTCACCTGGCTTTGGGAGATGAGTTATGCAGGTCTGACAGAGCTGGAAAGATCAAACCTCTCTGTTCTGCTGTAGAACAAAACTGGGGGTCATTATATGGTCAGGAGAGGCAGAGGGGTATTCAGAAGTAAAACAGAGAAGACAGGTGCTATAACTGGGAAATCAAACAAGTAAATAACAGTGAAAGAATTAAAATTTACAGATTGATTTAGTCTGGTTTTTCTTCTCTGCAGTGAGACTTGTAGGTATTTTCTTAGAGAAAATGTTTTGGGGAATGTTGCGGTTTTTGAACACTTCATATGCAAAAACTAGTGTAATGTGCATGATCTTGTGACCCAGCTTGTATAAGAAGTCCATTTGGTTCATGGGGGAGATTCAAAATTTGTAACTAGCTGGATCATATTGATTTTGCAGAACATGTTCCCCAAAGCTTCTCTAAAGTCTGTGCCTTACGCACATAAACATGCGTGCATTCCCTTTTGTGCACTGTCATTGATTAGAGGCTCCTTTGAAATGGAAAACTTCACCTTTTAAAAAGGCTGTTACATTAGTTGATTCCTTTGCTTTCTTGAACTGGTTTCCACTGAACTTGAAGAAAGGAAGGAGGGGGAATGATGGGGGCTCAAAGGGAAGGTGCTTGTCATTTACTGATAAAAACCTGAGCAGAAAATCGTTGCTGCTAAGGACACCTGATCCTTGGGCATCTGTTACAGTAATTTAAACTCTCAGCTTACTGATACACTTTCTCCCAAAAAAAGAAAAGAAAAAAAATAAATGAAAATGAAAACAAAAACCCCAGTGACACTACATTCGATAAGGTAATGTTGTTTGGGTTTGCACTTTGTATAGCATTTCTTTCCTTGTTTAGAGAGAGAATTGGATAAACAAAGGACTAGTATTCATTTCTTAAGCAAAATCTTCTGCTCTGAATACTTGAAAAAAATGCTATTTATCAGCTATCGCGAAGCTTGACTGACAGGTGGAGTCTGAGCTTTAACACTTTTGGATGCTAAACCACTGCCTTGAACCATTAAGTTTACACTTACCTTAGTGTTTGACTGTATTTTACCCTGCATTCCATGGTTGCTCAGCACCCAGCAGGGATTTTTATGTTTGCCGGCCTGAGAGTATACATTCCCTATCATACAGTGCAGCATGAAGCAGTGAGCATATTTTTACATGCACACTCTATGTGCAGAAGGAGAGGAGTGGTATTGTTGTTCATATGTACAGCAATAGAAATTTCTTGGGGGATTGGATTTTTTTGTGCTCTTCAGCTTTTTTTTTATATAGCTTATTTCATACTTTCTGTAAAAGTAAGCATGAAAATGCTTACTTTTTAAAAATAATTTTAAAATCTTTCATTTCCTGCTCGAGCTGTAGGACATTTGGACCTGGTCAGTGTAAATGGAGCATGCTATCCTAGGGACTTCTGTTCTTGTCCCAGAATTGGTAACTGGCCATTGTTGTTTGATGCCAAATCAGTGAAATGGTTTTAGTTCTACAAACAAATGTTGTCTACCTAGGTAACAAGAAATTATATTTACTTTTATATATAACCTATGTCTCAGCTTATGTGTCTTTAAAAGTACTGGGACTTGAAGTCCCATACATCATAATGGACTGTCAGAGCTGGACAGCTCTGGGGATAGAGGGAGCAGGCCGTGTAGGTCTGATGTCAGAAGTCTCTTGGAAAAGCAGGAGTAGCCATGGCTGCTCTCCCTGCATGTGTGTTAACTGCTGCTGAATCCCAACAATTACCATTACTTGGGGATACCATAATGGCAATGTAGTCATGACTAACTGAGGTAGTCATTTAAATTTGCTATGCTTTTGGGGGGAAGGAGGATGCATGTTTTGCTCTTTTTTTCTGATAAATCTACTCCAGACTTTTCTTTGTATGATCAAAAGTAGGGGGTTGAATTTTTGTGTTTATTGAACTCAAAGCTTTTTATAAGCTTTTGTTGCATCAGGCCCAGAGGTAGGGCAGCAATGATACCACAGCTGTCATGACCATTCGGCAAATAGTTGAAGTACACACAGTCTCTTGAGTTCCTTATGTTCAGCTGTACCTACTCACTTGTTTAAGTTTTGGAAGCTGCACTTTGAGGATGTCCTTAGTAGCCAGAACTGCTCAATGAGTTAGAAGTTATTTCTAGGGATCAAATAGAAACCCAGCATATCCCAATTAACACCCTAAATTAGTTTCCTGAAGCTGCAGCGTGAAAAAGGAACCTTCATCTTGGCCTTTAGCTTATACTCCCATTCTTACTTTTGTAAACTAATGGAGATTTCCATCTGCCTATACAAATACTCACCTGTTCAAGCACTGTTAGGAGAATATGTGTCACAATAATGTTGAAATAGGCACTTTTACCCCCTGCAGGAATGAATGGTTCCGTACCTAATTTTGAAAAAGCTCAGAAAACTTACCTGCTTTTAAGTAGTATTTTTCATGCTTATGCAGTTGGGTATGTACATGTCAGGTTTCAGTCTTATATTAAAATAGTGAATTGGGAGTTCCTAAAAACCATTGAATTTAATGGAAACAGTTAATGACTTCACGTTATTACTCTGGCGAGCACTCTCATAATGGGGATACTTAAAGAAGCCTTATTTATTAGTGCAAATGTATATGGGTCAGAATTAATTTTTAAAAAATCTTTAATTGTTTTCCCCTTATAATTTTCACAGCGGTACATAGTTAAATATTCATGATAATGCTGATGATATGCTAAAGGTCTGAAATAGATCTGGAGTCTCAAAATCAACACAGGTTATTTAACCCTTTTCATCTAATGCACCATTGGGGACTTGCTGAGTGAAATCCCAGAGCACTGGAATAATTAGAAGATAGTAATGAGGATTTAATTAGTCCTTGAGATATGCTGAAATAGGACCACTGAGAACTTTTCTTTTTGGACATGGATTGCAAGCAGAATTGCTGTTGCAGCTGCTGTGATGTGCTGGAAAATGTATTCCATTGCTTGAGGCATTTTCATGGCAGCATTCTGTCAGATCTATGTGGACAGTGCCCAGAGTAAGCACCTCCAAAATTGTTGAATAGAACTCGCCACCTTCTCCATCACCTTCTCCCAGCAGTTTTTCATTTTTAGTTTTTTCTGTCATTCTTTCTGTTCTAGCTTTATTTCTTTCCGTTGTTGACATGATCCAGCTTTTGAGGATTGTTGTACAGTTATGTGCTCTGTTAAAAACATATCACAGACAGAGACAGGGAATAAGAAACTGCAGGCTTGTAGGAGTACAGGTGTTGTAGTAAGCAAAATTTGGATCTTTTTGACACAACTGATTGTAAGGTTTATCCTCAGATCTTGTCCTTATTTAGTATTAGATCTTCACAGAAGTGATATTTATCAGTAGCTGTAATGTAGTAAATTTAAATAGCTTTTTTGGCAGCCAAGATGTTATCCAGCAAGAGGTAGTAACAGATGGGATGTGATCGGGCATTTTGATGTTCTCTTTGTGCTTCCCTATAAACACTAAGTAGCAACTGAATTCCTGTAACTACAGTTTCCTAATTTGCTCATTAGATTTCATATAGGTATTTTTCTCCCCTTTAACTGTTTTCTGGGCATGCTTATTTGTACACAGTCATCACATAAATTCTACAGTCATGTATTTTCTTCTAA